GAACTTATCCGTGCCGCTTTTATTACCGAGAGAGCTCTCAAATATTATTACTTTCTCGTTCAGAGGAGCAACTTCTTCATCCAATTGATTGCACTTGTAATAAAATACACACGATGCAAACAATAATCAAGTAAAATTACATATTAATTTGCCTTAAATTTTCTGTTAGGTGGAAATTGAGAAATGTTTAAGTTTGTTGAAATATTTCAGAATTTATTTTACTATAAGAAATAATTTATTTTTGGCAGAAATTCTATGAAAAATTATCTTTGTGTGTGATTTAATTTTGCATTGTTCTGCATTCTTTGGGATTTAAATAAATAATTGATGTGCCTGCGAAAAGGACGAGTGGAAAAATACATCCTGATGATCCATAATTTGGTGAACGGAAGCCGCAGAACTAGCCATTTGCACGCTCTCATCCTGCATTAATATTGAAACAGGTGCTCCAAAGTTATTTGAGTCTCCGGTGGATTTCTGGACCAAAAGCTCTCTATAGCAAAGGTGCAGTGATGAAGTAATTATTAATACTCGGCCGCCGTTCAGGAACGGCGGAGGCTGGTGCGCGCAGGCGGCTGAAGCCGAGCGATAGCGGGCATTATGCCTTCATCAAAGAGATCTATCTACCTGCGTGCCACTATTAATTAGCTATTACCAGGGACCATCGAAACAGCTGAAGCCGGTCACTCGCAATTGAGACCGGCCTGCCAGTTCTAAGCTGACGTCCAATCAGATTGTGCAAATCGCGAATGACGCAGATTGAGGTAATTATCGCTCTGTTGCCTTTCTGATGACACACGGTATATTTGTTTATTTAATAATTTGTTTGTTTGGCCTGATAAAAGAGAAAGCAGGTATAAAAAAAAAAAATGGGATGTGCATTATTTGTGCGCTATTTTTGGAAATCTGATTCAGTGTAAAAACCTCAAAACAAAGTAAATTTGTATGGGATGAGATTCCCCGTTTTTTCCTCATTTGTATTAAAGAGCACATTACGATTATTATAATTTTGCATAGATGCAGTAATATTTTCATAGAACTATGTGTCGAAAGTGCTCAATTTTTTTTCTTCAGCTTTTAAGAAAAAGTTTAGATGAATTTTAATTTCGTTTTCTCGCTTTCTAAAGTGAAAATTATCATTAAATTAAAAAAAAAAAAAAAAAAAACAACCAGTACTCTGCTAATATATAATGTAATGAATTTCTTGCTAAATAATAGAAACTGATAACTTGCATAATATAAATAATTTAATGAATTGCAAAGATTCGGAAATAAATAAGCTTCTGAGTTGGCAGAGGTGTTAGATCCAGCTCATTGCCCCTCTGTTTTATTGTTGCCGACCTTTTCTTTCAAAGTCGTAAATCGAGGAAGACCGTGGCCAGCCCAATCACATTCGAAATGTAATCAAGTCGCTCCCCTTCGATTTCGCATGTGACAATTCGTGCCAAAAGGGGGAAGCAAGAGTGAAAAACATCCGAAATGTATCTGGGCGCATAAACGAGATAAAGAAAGATTTTTCCCTGCTCGTCTCGCAGATCACATTACACATCTCGCCAAAAGCCATCTCATATCGATATCAGGACCGCCCCCGCGCTTGTACGGCCATCGTTGGTGGCGCCCACGCCTGTAAAGATCCGCAGGGATCAAATTTTCGAGTTGGCGTCTTGGCAAGACTGACTGATTGCTTTTTAATTAGAAGAGGCCTGATATTATTGAGTTGGCTCCATAACGTAAACACACTTCACAACAAAGACGGTGGAATTGGGGGTCCAAAATTAACCAGAAATAGAAAGATATAAAAAATTAAACGTTAGAAACTGATCGAAAGAACATTTACATTGTTAATAGGTCTATTTGACTTGCACTGCTGGCTAAGTCAAGAGTCTTTCTAGGATGTTTTATATATTTTTTATAATTAAGTTTTTTGATTAAAAAAAGTTTTAATACTTTTTACAGCCTAATTTTCACTTCTACTCATGTCTTATGTTATTAATATTTCATTTTTTATTTCAAAGCTTGATTTCAAATAATTTCATAGGCGAGCTAAATATCCAAATATCAGTATTTAATTAGTGAGTTTTTTCTAGATAGAAAGTTGTATTTTATAAACGCACAAGCCTAAAAAGATATTTTAAATTAATTTTATATATCCTTGCAATGCAACATAGCTCAGAAACTTTGTTACCAATCTGTGTTAAAATGCAGTAATTTCTTAATTATTAAATAATTGTTTGGTCTTACTAAATTTTCAAAATTGAGTATAATATAAAATGCAGACTATGCAGTTCTTCAAATACCTTTACCAATTCTGACATTCTATTTTAACATTTTGACATTGTATTTTGGGAAAAATATTGTCACCCGTCAATTTGATGTGACCTAATTTCGCGTCGTGTATTGACACAGAGGCACCACTTTTGGCATCTCCGGCAAACGTATCAATAATACGTTCACATATTCGCAGGGCGATGACGTCAGAATAAAATTCATTAAAAGCCGTCGACGTGCATCACTGCGGCTCCGGAGCTATTGATTGAGCGCGGATCTCTGTGTGTCGCTCTCTCGTTTCTCCACTACAGTGATGTGATACGGGCTTTGTTTGCGAACTCCATCTGCACGCTTTTGTCACCGCTGATGCTTTTTTGTGCCGGCGAGATGCACTGGCGATTGTTTTCATATCGGCTGTCACGCGAGTGCAATTAATGAGCTGCTGTCGATGACAATCGCGCCCCGTTTCACCGCTTTAACTTTTTTTACTCCGTAGTGCTGCATTTTATGTGTTATTGTCTGAACGCCACTGGCAATTACATCGATCATGTCTGGCGACCGTGCCGTACCGAGATAATAAAGCCAACCGAGAAATGAGCACGTGCACACAGAAATTATTTAAATTACAATAGTGCATTTTACTGATGACATCTTTTTAGTAAAATGGAATTTCTAGGTCATTCCTCTGAAGAATTTACTTAATTTAAAATCAATTTGAATGTTGAAATGAAGCAATGAATTAAAAGTTCATATTTAATTTGCAGAAAAATTAAAATTAATCAATACATTACTTAAATATTCATTTCAGATCTATTTGTTATAACATGAAAAACCACGATTTATAAAACTGGCAATTAGAAGGATGCACAGATACCGTTTTTCTAGAATCTACACATTTTTCATTTAATTACAATAATCACCAAGAGACGAGAGATTTTTTAATTTTGTTCAATTTATTTACTATATTTCATTTTCTTATATACTAAGTAAGCCCAGAAAGTCTGATTTAAAAATACCACCTCAATTATTCAATATTTTAAGAGCAGAAAATATATGAAATAATTAACTTATTAAAACAGACGCGAGAAGTTAAAAGTTTATTCATGTCAGATCCATAAATTTTCCTTTGCTCCTTCCCTTCAACTTGAGGGTTAAAAGTGTGGAAGTTGTGCTTCTTGGTTCAATTTTCCGCCACGCCGCCTCTCAAGACGGAGTGCAAAGTGAAAATTATGGAGCGTGATCCCTCGCTTTCCGATGCATCTTCGCGGCTTAATAATTTTTCGCCCGTGGTGCGGGAGTGTACATTCGTCGGTGCGCCTACGTCAGCAGATAAAGTAGCTTGCTCGGATAGAGACAGAAATACAGTGAGGAGGGTGAGAGGCCCGAACAACAAACAACAACAACATACGGACGTAGCGGTGTGTTGAGCCGGGCCGTTATTATTACACCGTGGCGCAGAAGCTCCTTACATCTTTTTATTCGGGCCATAAATTGCGTCGAAAGCGACACTGCGCCATAATCTAGCCCACCGCGTACCCCACTAACAACTTCCATACATAACGCTGCAAAAAGATGCTCCCTTTCTTTTTGCCGGCGCTGAAAAATGGCCAGCTTTGTAATCAACAATGGATGGAAATTCTACTCGCGCTGATTTATTCGCGCGTCGTCCGACCCCCCTGATGTGACGGATGCGCACTTCAGCGCAGAAAACTCATTTGTCGAGTGAGAAAATTTCTAAAAGAACAAAAACACATGAATTTTAATTTTTCACCAGCAATGCAGGGGGTTCACAATATGTATTATTTTTATTTTCCAAGCTTTTCATTCACAAACAAAGCTTGCTCTCGCGCTATTTCAAGAGTATGCAACACGCGCTACGTCAGTGTCGAGCGTGTTGCATAAAAACCAATATTGCTGCCCTACATAAGAGTATGTAACAATTTTTATGCAGTGTTTTATATGAATCACATTTAAACCGCGGTAGAAAGTTGATATCAAAGTCCCTGGATAAAATTTTTGCCGTAAAAGCTTTTAACTTGCCATATGTTTTTGATAAAAAAAATCAATATAAAATTATAAAAAAAAGAGTGCAATAATCCACAAATAAAATACACAGCCAAAGAAGGACGTAAAAATATGCACCTCTTGTTTGATAAAAAAAAAATACCACTGTGATACATGCTTTAAAAAATTTTCCCAAATGAAACCCTGCACGGATGCGAACGCAACAATAAAACACGGTATATTTTATGGAACTCATTACTCTTAATGCAAAATGTTTGCAGCCTGGAATTTAATGGTTTCCACAGAGACAAAAGCGCGTTATTTCAATGGCCTTCCGTGGATAACTATGCTATTTGGCTTACTGCTGGTTTGCAACCACATTACACGCGTAATTTTAGCTTCCTCATAAAGCAGGCGCCAAGCGTGTTGATTTCTCCCACGAATAATTTCAACTTCCACGAACAATTTAAATAATTTACATCATAATCTGCAGCAGGTTGTTCTCAGAACTTGATAATAGTAATAGGAAACTTAAAATATTTACTGAACATCCATAGCCTTCAAAAAGAAAAAGGCACTAACTTTAAAGTAGGATGAAGAGATTCAAAATATTAAAAAAAAAATTATCATTATTGAAAATCTAAGAAAATATTGACTGTTGACCTTTCGGGGATAGTCTTGAAAGACTTTGCCTCCGATAACTGACCCCTTCGGTGTTTGTCCCGCAGTGTTCGGACGGACGAGCGAGCAGCATGGCCGCCGCATTGGTTCAGTCAAGTGTCTGGGCTTCGGGATGGAACGCGTGCAGCAGCGAGAGCAGCGACGCCGACCGGTGGTGATAGAGCGATCGGCCAAGGATGAGCAGGCGGCAATCGGGTGGCCAGCGGCGAGCCAGCTGCGGAGAACCGTGCGTCCACCAACCGCCGCCCGCGTCGCCGAGGTGAGCCAGCAGCAGCGACAGTCGAAGACATTCCACGCGAAATGCAGAGACTGCGAACCACGTTCAAGCGATCTCGAACGCCAACCGGCGCCGACATGAAGCAGCAGAACAGCCTGGAGGTGCCGCGCCAGGTGCGCTCAGCGTCGTTTGACGAAATCCAGCTGGAGGCGGCCAAGAGCCAGCCAGACTCAGCGACGCCGTCGGTTCGAATGCAGCCGACGGCGTTGCACCTGCCTCTGCAGAGTCTGAGCGCGCCATCCGCGTCAGCCACGACGGCCGAGACCTTCCTCAAGGTGCCCACCTTCTCGAGCCAAAGATCCAAGAGCTTCGACTCCGGCTGCGGGGCAAATGCGAGCGGCTCCAGCGGCGACGAGTCGTACTACCTGGAGGTGCCGCGCTACTTCCAGAGGAGACGATCTTCTAGTGATAAATCCGCCTCTATTTGTGTGCATTGCCAGTGTGTCGAGGAGTACGAGAGACTGAAAGCGTGTGCGGAGAGCACGGTGAATGCGGGTGTGCAGCTGCGATGCGACTTCTCAAGTCTTCCTTTAGGACTACCTTTATCTTCGCCTTCATCTTCAGCCTCTTCTAGTGAGAGTGACCTGCCGTCTTGCGGCATCCGGGTCACCTTGGAGCCCGAAGACTTGGAATTCCGGCGTCGCCAGAGCCTGGCGGTGACGCCCTCCTCGCCGCACAAGCTCGCCAGGCAGGAGGCCTTCTTTGTTGAGAACTCGCTCGAGTTCTCTTTGTCAGCCGAGAGCGACGACCCGGCCGTGGTCGCTGAGATTTTCCTCGAAGTTCCTGAGCTGCCGTACAACAAACGCGACCGCGCCGCCAGTGTGGACTCTGGGTTCGCACAGGCGGCCGCCGCTGAGGGCCACGGACCCACGAAGGAATTGGTGCTGCTGGAGCCAAGCAGTGGTGCCATCTCTCCTCTCACCGAATCCGAAGGAGGTTTCCTCGCACCACCACCAACCACCCTGCGCTCTCGCTCCGTTGACATCGTTCTACCCACCCAGGAACACGAACGGTACAAGGCCCTTGCCGCTGCCAATAACAATGCCGCACCCAAGCTCGATGTAAATAAGAAGTACGTGAGCACAACCAATCCTTTTTATAGATATTCCAATTTTTTGTTGCATGCTTCTCACTTTATCGATCTACCTACTCGAATTCCAACTTGGGCTATTTTTTTGTCATCATTTTCTTATAACTGCTGAAAATTCTATTTTTATTAGCATTCACCTCCTACACGAAATTTGATATTCGACCCTTGAAAAATTCTCATTAATTTTTGCTTTCAAGAGTAAGGCCATTCAAACGTGCGAGTCTGCTCTCAGCTCGGTTACAGAGGAACAGAAATAAAAGTCATCATAATAATAAAGTTATTTTGGACCGCTCTCAGATCAAAATAGCGTCGGGGAAAAGAACTTGATATATACAGCAATAAAACGCCGTGTTCCTATATTACACCTTAAATTCTCACACATCATAGTTATTTCGTTCATTTTAAGACTTCCTATTTCCTATTAGGAGATAGCGATGGCCAAACATTAACTTAAGAAAGAATTAACTTAAGAATTTTTAACTGAAATCAATAATGGGTGTTTTAATAAATTACCAAAATAACCAAATCAGTATTTTTTTTCTTACAAACGACTTTTAAGCAATAAAATATGCCCGAAAACTTAGCTAGGAAGTGGAGTTATAGTGGATTTGGATTTACTAAAAGTTGCTCAAATATAATATGAAAAAACTTTACAAAATATAACTTATTAAAACAATAGTATAATAATAATATATAAACAATTATATAATTATTCATAAATCAAAAATTTTATGTAGTTAAATTTTAAGAATAACATAAATTAATATTTTTTTTTAATTTAATTTTTGTATTTATATTAACCATTTTAATTTGTAATAATCACAACAAACGATATCAAATAACGTTTGCTGATAAGCCAAAAAATTTCAAGTCTATTCACGCTGCCAAAATATATTCCTTTCTTTATTCCCATGATCATCTCCTCCAGTGTTAACTTCTTGAAACAAATTAGATTGTCAGAAAATTTATTTAACGACCTAAGGTTGACCAAAAAATCCATTCAAATGAGCTTATTTTTTAAAATTTACAAGCAAACGGCTAACGGGCACGTGATACGTTAATAAAAAAAATTAAATTAATGAATAATCAAAGCTTTAAATTGATAAAGGAGCCCCTGCAGGGAGCAATTTGCTTCAGTCCTTTGGGCCTATTGTCCTGCTGCTGGACTTCCATTCAAAATTCCTTTATGGCAATGCATTTTAAATTTACATTTTGCAGTGGAAATTGGCTGAACTTTTTGAAGTTTTTTTGGAAAATCTGAAAAATTAAAACTTGTCAGAAGGGGGATTTGACTGAGGTCCTTTTTTTGTCAAATTCTCACTACCTCTCAATAGTCTTTACTTTTCCAATTTATAAAGTAGCCGAAACAAAGTTTTCACGCGCCAAAATAGAACCGATCTACGTCATAGCCATCCCGGAATAGTGCAGACCATTGTAACTGCCGCGAACGCTCATTCAATATGCAAGACCGGCACTTTTAGAAACAATCCCATTCGGAAATATGTTTATTCCTGGAGGAGCCGTTAATGGATCGCTGACAGCCACCCGATCTTCTCCCCCGAGCCTTCCTTCTCTCTCATTCATCCATATGCAAAGAGACAATCTTAATTCTGGCCGCCTTTCTTTCATTTTATGTCCCCTGTGCTGGCGTTTTATTTGTTGTGCGATTGGCCGCAATTCCGATTCTACGAAGCTACCGGCCGTAAAGTTTCATTCGCCAGACACCTTCAAGCACTTTATTGGCCGTAAAGCAATCCGCGGCGCAAAAAGCGACCGAACATGAAAATGATCGAAACAGGTGAGGCGGATTCCCACGTGCCCCCTCGTCCGTCATTCGTCGCCGACAGACCCTGAGCAGACATACCGCAACAGCAGGAAAATTCATTACTCGGCTCTCTATTATTCTCGCAACCCGACGAACCGAGTTCCCTTGGTGATACGAGGTGCCGGCGCTGAATAATCAATCGGGCGAAGGCGGTCACGCGTCGCTCTCATATTAGCCTAGACAAACTCCAAGCTTGAGGCGAAAGGGTTGCGCCAAATCTTTTAAGCCTAAACACATGTAATTTGTAGATATTGATACTTTCACTTATCTTTATTTCATTAAATTTTAAGAGGTTATTCCTAAAAATCTCTGCATAATAACATAATAGGTGTTCAAGTAAAAATACAAATTTTGGTTGTGTCAATGTCACGATATTTTCGTTTGAATTTCGGATAAGATTTCATTCATATGCGCATCTCATCGAGATAGTTTTTTGAAAGCTCGCGTCAAAGTGCCTTTTTATTTAACAGAAAAATGGTTCTGTCCTTTTTCTCTTGGGTATTTTCTTGCTGCTTTTCCGTTTATTTATCGCGATTTTCCCGAGCGTCTCTTGGCGGCGTTTTTTGTTTTGTCGCCCATGCAGCTATTTTCCTCAAACGCGCGCACACCGGCGACGAGTCTGCATGACGACGATGGTCCTCTCTGCGTATATAGCCTTCAAGGAACGAATGGATGCTGGCGGGCTAAATTCTGACGTCACGGTAACTTAGCAACCCTAGCTCGGTCGGGCAGGAGCAAAAATCCACCCACCACCCTCTCTCACCTCGTGTGCATGCACCGGCAATTGTCACGGCCCAAACGAGGAACACAATTGCGCCGGCTAATTACGGCCCCCCTCGGTCAGTCTGGCGCGCCGCAGAGCGACACGGAGCGCGTTTCTCGCGTCGGCCCCTTTCCACTTTTACTCTTCCATCCCTAACTCACGCTCCGACGCTCAACAGGTATCAATTTCGCGTAGCCGGCGAAAAGTGCGACGGACTATATCGTCAGGGTGCAATCTGCTTTTTGCGCTGCACAAGGAGCTTTTTGCATCGATCAACCACTTTATAATGCTGGAAAATTGGAGCTGAGCCAAATAGGCACGTGAATCGTGTCCGCCCGAGAGTGCGAAATTCAAGTGTTGCAGAAGGGATAAATCATTTTTGCTTTTTGAGCAAGGCTAAATTTATAGTTTTGAAAAAATTAGTGGGCAAGAATCAGATGTTAGAAAATAAACCCATTTTATTTTTATATATTTTACTTTTCTTAAGACTGACGCAAGGGGTACAACCTAAAAATATCTATAAATGAGTTAAATTTTTAAAATGTTGAAACATTAAACGATGTTAAGTTTAACAAATTAAAATTTTTTCTTTTAATATTAAATTATATAAATTAATAATTTTTATTAAGCATTTTCACGTGTTCTCTATTTTGTTGTTTGTAACTTTCAATGTAGAGTACTTATTATATTTTTCTCTCTTTAAAATGGTATCATGAAAAGAGTTATTTCACCAAGAAGAATTACTCTCCCTTTGCTTTAACTGAAAGCAACTGAAAGCTGACAAAACGTGATACATTACACCTCCCTTGGTTGTGGGACGTAAAGTATTATTTCAAAGAATTCGCAGACATTCCCATGACAGATATCATGGCTCGACCTCCCTGCTGCTCGTTTTCTTCGCCCGTTTAAACTGCTATTATTAATTCGACATGCTCCGCCGCGGCACCTCTCCTCGGTTTTCCTCCCTCGACGAAGTGCCGACAATTTCAATTTCTCCCGAGCCGAGAATAATTTATCATGCAATACATACGATTCGTTTTTTTCCTACTCCAACCCGATGCTATTTTTCTTCTTGTCCTCCGCCCAAGTTTGTTTTAATATCTCATGAATTGGAAATTCATCTCTCAGCTGAATTTTCGCACACATGTAATGGAAGAAAAGAAACACATTACAAGTAGCCGAGCGAAATGTGCAGCGTGTGCACATTTTATGTGTGTCACATCCATGTCTCGGCAGATAAAGAGGCGCCGCACGTAGAGATGGCGCCGTGAAATATTAAATGCGAGCTCTTTGCCATTTCTGTCCCCTTTTCCGGCCTAGCTGCACAACTCGCCGACAAATAAACAAACACGAGAGTCTAATACATTTTTCCAGCATCCACAGCCAGTAAATTACATTTCGCTTTTTTCCTGCAAACAAACGAGCAAAAGCGGGGCCTCCTGAGATGCCGGCTCAACACCGCAGATGAAAAGCCGCTAGATAAAAATACAGTCAAAAGGATTTCCTGCCATAGGAAAACGGATCGCAAATAGCGATTGCAACTGACACTGTCGTTTAAAACAAAGGAAAATAATAACGTGTGTCAAAAGAATATTAAAATTCATGACATAATAAAATAATTTAAAAACTATACATTTCAAACTCTTATAGCGTCAGTAGTGGGTTTATTATTCAAAAAATTTTATCTACAGAGTTTTATTTAGCTCTATAAAGTCACATGACATACATTTCTTAACCGCTATCAAAAGCACAAACCCCAAGAAAGGGAAGATGAAATTTTAATTTAAAATTACATTTTATTTAATTCAATTATTTAGTTTAAATCAAATTTATTAATAGTATTGAGTAAAATTGTAGAAAATTATTAATAGTTTTTTCTTTGCTATACAATTTTTAAAAAATAAGCAAAAGTCAAAATATGTATTGTCAATGAGATAAAAAGAAATTTAATTTTTATAAAAGATCTTCATGAAACAATTGTCACTTTATGACAATATTAACTTAAAAATTTGACTTATAGTTGAGAAATTTAAAAATATATAGCTTAACTTGCTTATTTTCAAGTTTAATCAACAGAATTTAAAACCAACCACGAGCTAAGCTAAAGAAAATTTACATTTTTCCCAGGCCTAGTTTTTAAATTGCGGTTTTTGTTCACTTTGTACCCTGTTTTTTCTTTAATCTCGGATTTTATTCTGCCCGCTTCTGAGAAGGTCCCTCTATGACCCTTACGCCGCAGGCTGACAAATTCTCCTTCCCTTTCTGACATTTCGCTTCGCGTCTCTTTCTCTTTTGCAGATTTGCGTTTCGCGCGTTCTCATCTTGTTGCGCACTTGTTGTCGACGAGGCAACTTTATTAAAAAGATAATCTGCGACTGTTTTTCGGGGCGACGC